AGCTCCAATAAATCACAATGAAAAAAGCCGAAAGATAAGATCGTGGAAGCTTAAGGAACAACTACAATATAACGATCGATCACGGGGACGACAGAAGAAAAGGAAGAAGCAAGTAGCTGAAGTTGGCAACAGGGCCAATTTCTCTTTATCAAAGATCACTATTGGATTTCTCTGTGTGACTGCCGCGTGGTGTACGTGCATAAAAGGCATACGAGTACAAAAGTGGCTACGCACATTGGCAGAGTCATGGCAGTGCGTAGGTCGTTACTGCGTGAGCGTGCAAGTTCAAGAACAATGGCACTCGACGATCTGTGTAATGTAGGTATAGGACAGTGGTGAACAAACTATGTTTTTCATCAGGCCAAAATTAAAACTCACTCGTTAATGCAATATGGTAAATAATAATGAATTATAATAATATAATGTAATAATTAAAATGAGAACTTTATGGATTTTAAAATTTTGATGATCGTTGAAGAAATAAAAATAGAGGCAAAATTATATATATATATATACATATTACAATATACTTTACATATGCAGGTATTTTTATATGTACATTATATATATATTCTTGCATAAAATCCGCATTTTAATAAATATAATATAATTAAATATATCAATAATGTTTCTCTTCATATAGATAAGATAAAAGAATAAGAAACCTGTTGCTTGTAAAAAATATTGAAAAGTTAATATGTACTTCATATTAATAATACGTAGAGAGAAATACTCTATATAGAATCATTTAACCGTTTCAGTGTTTAAAATTACCAAAAATGTAAAAGTTCAGTAGTGAATGAGGAGTACATGGCAAATTAAGAATCTATTCATCTTTAAACGTATATTAGAATAAAAAGTGTTGAATACGTTTTCATGACAATTGTCAGTAGGAGATCTACAACGAAATAATTTATTTATTTTTATTTCAGCGAGACACACTATCAGTGCCGCCTTTGCTTTAATTTTGAAATATCAATTTTGGTTGATCTCTCTTGATGGTTGAATGACCTCTGACTTACCATGATTTAATATGATCCAAAGTTTAAAATTCTTTAATCCTTTCAGAGATTCAAAGGGGACAACATATTAAAAAGCACATCTTTAAAGATGAATGTATTTTTAATTTCTTCTGTACAGTAGACTTTTGATCATATTAAGCACTCAAAGAGTTCAATCTTGGATGTCTATAAACTTTGAGTCTTGGGTATTTTGAAGGTTTGTAAATTGCAACGGGCTTTAATGAATATTGAGTAACTTGAAATTTCTGGCTTTTCTTTGTTATTTAACATAATTATCAATTAATTTAATTATTATTATATAATTTACTTTATATAATATTATTACTTTATAGTATTATTACATAATATAATTATTAATATAATAATACAAATACAAATAATTAATATAATTAGTTAATTTAATACACAATAATACAATAGAATACAATACACATAAATAATAATAATGATGTAATAAACTCTATACTCATCACACTATTACACTTTATTTGTCAATTGTTTCAGGATATCCAAGACCATCAAAATTTTCAAAATTCAATTACCAATTCAATATTAAACAGTTTTAATCCCTTGA